ATCTGAGTGATTATTATACTATCATAATTAAATATATTAATCTGTAAAGGAAACAGTGTGCACAGCTCTAAACTATCCTGTAGGTTGTAAAAATTTCCCACTTCATGCAGATATTCGGTCTGCTAATTATACATGACAATGCTGAATTTAAAAACCAATATAAAATTCACTATTGTCTGCTAAAGGCTGTTCCTGGCATGGTTGTTTGAGAGAAGCAATAGTGTTAGTTCTGCTATTTCTTACACAACAGACTATGAAAGCTTTCAGGGGGATAAATACACTTTCACCAAAAGAAGGGAAACAAAGGGATTAATATAAGACAACAAAGTTACTGTGCAAGTCTACTTGCATTATTTTAAAATGCTAATTGCTACATTTTCAGTAAATATGAGTTCCAGGGCTCAATCTGGCACAACATAAGTGCAGACTACTACACATGTCAAAACAAGGTAAAAAATGATAAGCAGAGCCGGAAACATAAAGTAGTGTGCTCTGTAACAAGTGTATAGGTTATAAAATCTATGTTACTTCATTTTTATTTTGTACTCTTGAAAGTAAGACAGTCAGGGTAGAAGGCACAGGATACTTCAGTGCAGACGGATATGCTTGTGTATAACCTTCCCTGTGCCCACATGTTGCCACCATTCTCATTTTTATTTGAGAATCACCATACAGTTTTCAAGATGAAAGACCAAAACATTTGCTACGTCATTGAGACGTGCGAGGAGAAATTATATTAATCATTTCCCAAAGGCTTTGACTGTACAAATTTAAAAGAAGAATGTGTTAAAGAAAAAAATGTTGACATTAGAACGAAGATATAGACATGACTGATCTCTCCTCTTCAGCATTGAAACAAATACTATATAAAATTTATTGTATTTCATTGACTGACTGAATACTACATACCATAAACATGCTATTTCCCATTTAAACTGTGCTAGCATTTTGTTCTCTGTCCACTTTCAGCACTGCTTAAATACAAAAAACGAAATCAAAATGTTATTAAAAAATGAAACTGTACACTCCAAAACTGTATATTTCCTTATTAAATGCTAATTTCTAAATACATTTCCATATAGGATGGCAATTTTGGTTTTTTTTAAAGCTAAGCCTTTTTTAGCTTTATCAAGAAAGACAGTCATGAAAACCAAGCCAAGATTTTATTCAAGTTGATCATGAAGTCAAATAATCAAAATAATCCACAAGCATCCCATCAAGTTTGTGTTCCTTTTTCACAGAAGTCTATTGATACCAATGGACATTTGGCCATTTCCAAATGGACATTTCCTCTGATTTGGGAAGTGCTAGTCCCTTGGGGTTGTATGTTCTGGTGCATTTGTGGGGAGGAGAGTTGAAGGGGAACCAGTTGTCATTTTTTCCTATCATCTCTTGCAAGTCACAGAAATAGTTTCTCACTTTCTTCAGCTCTCACGGTGCATTACATTCTTCATACATTGTCATTCTTCTTTTTAGGCAGGCCAGGTAAATTGCATTGACATTGCTTCTTAGGCCACACTGACAATTGCTATAAGGAAAAAGAGAAAGCAAAAAAAATAATAAAAAGCAGCTAGTTCCAGAGATATCAGGTTAAATATTTCTCCCTAAGAAAATAAAGGTGAAATTAAAACTTGCCATTTCTATTCCCTGCAACCAGAGCACTAAAAAGAAGGAACATGAAGTTACTGAACTAAAAAGGGAACTTAAAAGTTTCCATTCTGAAATGACTTTGCACATAGAAAGGTGAAGCATGGACAGATCTACAACAGAATAAAGAGTGCCAGGACATTTTATCACAATAAAGAACCTGGCATACAAACCTGAAGTTTTCTTTTCATCAGACCATGATCATTACACAACGGGAACAGAAAGTCACTACACAATCTTTTAATTCATTCTTAAGGTCCAGGACATTTAAAAAAAAAACTTAGAAGTGCTGGCTTTGAAAGTCTACAGAGATGGGCTAACATTAGCATCTTGAGAATTCCCATGTTACAAGGGGGTTATTACAGACTGTGAAGAAATTCTTGACCATCTCTTGTTGAAGATGACCTGTTTAAGTTTGCAGGGTTTCCCTGTCTTGCATAGAATTCATGACTGGAGGAACATCTTTGGATAATAGTGGGAAAATGTCCTAACCCTGTTGGACTGAAGAGGACAGGAGGGTTGGTAGTGTCTAATAGGGCTAGAAGTTACAGTTGTGGGGAAAGGACATGAATCTGACTCATACAAACAAGACTTATCTTTCCCCACTCCCCCAAATGTTATAGTTTCTGAGGCTAAAATGTCCTTAAAATCATATATAATCTAACTTCCTATATATCACAGACCATTAAATTCAAATACTTGACTGGGATGGTTTAGTTAAGGACTATCCTACTGTGAGCAGGGGGTTAGACTAGGTAACCACTTGAGATCACTTCCAGCCCTATTTTTCTATGATTCTATGAAATTATACCCAATTACTCCTGTGTTGAGACCAAGACTTTGGGTTAGACCAAAGAATTTCAGTCCTCAGGAGCCAGAGAACAGGTGAGACTGAAGTGCCATCAGTGTCTGACAAATCTGTTACAGCAAGAAATTGATCAGGCAGGGTTGTGCCCAAGTTATTCTAGCAGGTGATCTGTCCTACACCCTGCAGAGGGAAGAGAAAAGGACCCAAAGTCCCTGCCAATCTGACCTTGGTAAATTCCCTCCTGACCCTCAGTTTGGCATGCAGTTTAACCCTGAACATGTGAGTAAGACTCACCAGCAAAGCACACGTCAAAAACCCCCTCAGAATGCTGCATACTCTTGCAGAACTCTGACCCACTAGTCCAGCATCCCCATCTCCATTCTCCAGGAATGACCAGTTGCTAACTTTAAACCAAAGACTCCTTTTTTTTCCCAATTCTAGTTTCTATGATAAAATTATGGAAAAAATTAAACTACACAATGAATTAATCTGAGCCTCCATTCTAATACTAGAAAAGCCTAAGTCTGTCTGTCTGTCCTTAAGCAATGCTTTATTTGCATTCTGATTGACTGAGGGAAACAGCCAATCAGAGTGCTTCAAGCATGGGGGAAAGCCACCATGATTCCAAAGCCGTGCCCAGGACTGGGCAGAGAGTGGGCGAGCTGAGGCCAGCAGTCTTCCCCACCCCGCTCCCTGCAAGCAGTGCCAAGGACTGGACAGGGGGTGGAGGAGCTGGGGCCAGCAGCATTGGCCTCAGTTCCCTCACCCTGCTCCCTGCAAGAGGCAGAACAGCAGTAGTATGGGCCATTAGGTGGTGGCACTCCATCCCAACCCCCCCCTTCTCCCACCCATTCTTGAGGGGCAATTAGCTAGTCTGTTTTTAAGAGATTAGGGTTGTTCCCAGTTTGAAAAACAAATTGTTAATGGCACATTCAAGTTAATCTTACTCCTAAACTCCAGCAGTTATCCAGGCAGAACATCCATATAGTTTTCTAACCAAACAGGGGATAGACATTATTATTTCAAGAAACCAGGATTAAGTCAGTGTTTCTCAAGCTTTACAGATACAAGGCACCTCTCATTAGACCCTAGGCACCCCTGGGAAAATGCCAGCTCTTAATTTTCACTTGTCTTTTGACTTTTGAAAGAGTCATAGAATAATTCTTCTATTGCAAAGAACTAAGACAGACCACAACAGGTCACAATATTTTTAATGCTATGAATTCCTATTTGAAATCTCTGGATCTATTTTGTGAAGCATATTTCTACACCTAACAGTGCTAATATTGTGTAATACCCTCAGCACCCTTGAAAGAATCCCAAGCTGTCCAGTATGCCATGGCACCCTGGTTCAGAATCACGGATATAAGTAAAATGATTTTAATGTCCAGAGTTATGCACAGACTATTGCTAAGCACAAAATAACAAACATGTTCTCCTATGTGGTTGCACTGCCAGGATCAGACTTATCACTGCAAAGCCCTGTGGGCTAATTAACGTGGGTACAACATAAAACCGAATTCTAGAGACTATAGAATTCCAGATTACTGTGGTAATATTTTTTTTTGTATTTAGCTAAGGGAAAATGTATCAAGCACCATATTTATAGAGGAATGGTTTGCTTCAGACATATTGTTACCCACTGCTTTCTGTACTATTTAACTCTCACCTGAGAGGGCTGTGTGGGAGAAAGATCTTTCATGCAGACTTAGGAATGCTCTAATTTATACAGGCAGCAAATATTCCCAAAAGGAAAAAAACAAAGCTAAAACATGACATGACAATGGAGTGTCCTTACCACAAAGCTTTTCCACCCAACACAGTCTGTTTCACTACAGCAATAGTGACAGTGACAGGATAGTGACATAACAGCCTTAGCATCTGTTCTACAACCTGATTGGATTAACAAAGGGGTCCAGATTTAGGGTCTGATTATGCCACCAATGCAACACAGAATAATCTCAGGAAGGTTCCTGATGCAGTCAGTTTATTGAAAAGGCACCAGTTTCTAGGAAAAAGGTGATAGCATTGATTAAAAGTTGTTCTCAGATTTAAAACTATTAATGGATCTTTTTTCAGCCTCACTCTATCTTCTCCATCATATCAAATCTTGGTCCCTAAGATGACACTGTCAGCAGTCCTTAACAGAAGAACATCTCTGCAGATCCTTTACCATCTTTCTCTCAATTGATTCACTCTCTCTTTCAGATTATTTGAATTCACTTCCTTTCACCTTTGTCAATCTACAAAACAATTTGTAGTTTGTATAAAACAAACTCTACAAAGATGTGTTGTCTTTTGCTATATATATTAGGATGCATGTTCTTATCATTTCCAAAATATTTGCTGGATGGGGGAGTCTATTTGTGAGTATTTCTATACTACTGGCTTGTAAATATATATATGTATATCAAAAAGATTTTTTCCTCTATTTTGAACAATCAGCTTTAACTCTCAAAAACCATTTTAGAAACTATATTCAGATAAAACTAGGAAGAGCCATACTGGAACTATCTAATCTAGAATTCATGTTGGGCTAAGGCCAGATGTTTCAAAAAGCTACGTAATAAACTAACAAAAATGAAAAATCAGTTTCTCAATCCAAGTGTATCTAAAATACTTTAATTTTGCGCAAATTCACAAATGATACAATATTGAAGTGTTTTTTTAAACATACTGTACAATTATGTTAGTTAAATGTTTTACATCAAGGCACAGCACACCATATTTTACAGATATGCCTTGAGAGGCAGCAACTTAATGTAATCCCCGAGATTTGGCAGTAATGCCAAGATAAATAGCATGGATCACAGATATGCTAGAAGAGAAATAAATAATAGATGCTGTCACATTTTATTTGAAATACAATTGCATATAAAAAGAATATACAATAATTTAACTTGAATAATTAGATTCTCTTTTAATATACGTAACAGAAGTACTTTGTTTTAAACAAAACATTTTTAAATACTAGAAGGATGCAAAAATGAAACTCTATTTGGCCTTGATTTATGGAGAAGAGTTGCAAGTTGCTTTCATAAGAAATCAAAAGGAGTTGATTTATTTCAGTTTCATGGCAATCTGAAAAAAAGTAAATCCAGAATTAACAAAATTCTGATACTGAAATGTTAATACTGTCATAACACATATCCACTGATTAAGACTATTACTTGAACAACACAGCTTTGTTTTATAAATGGGACACACATTGCAACTGATTATTTAAGTAGCACATCCACTGCAAGCTCTCCTTTTACAAAGTTTAAATAATGCACAATTGGAATTGTATCATACATCTGAATTAGCCATTCTTTGTTTATGATCAAAAAGTGAGTCGTCATAAGCCTATTTGTCATTCAAACCACAACTGACACTCTACAGATAACTTTACCAAGAAATGCCTATCAATATCACGTATATTGTAGTGTGTTTACCATATTCCTGGTGTCATTCCATGTTTTATATCTGAATGTCTCTCCTTCGCCTGCCAAAAGCTTTAGATCCCACGTTGGTAGGTACAAAGTTGTTCTTGCCAACTGCTCCTGATCTGCTCAGGAAGTCTGCCAGACGATGGGTCACACAGGTTGCTGTATTGCAAGCCCTTTTCTGTGCTGTTACACTGCTTTTCAAAGAAAAAAAGATGAAAATTACCTAAAGAATTTATCAGAGATTCAAATAAAATTAAATTTAAATCAATAAGGTAAGGTTCTACTTAGAAAAATGTTTCTACAAAAAATGTGATTCAGAGAGTTTGCTCATTATGTCTTAAGGATTTCCTAGTGTGCTAGTATGTTCAGTTTATGGGTTAATAATGTGGATTTATTCTACCAGGCTCGCAGACTAAACCAGTTTGTGAAAGAAACTGACACTTTCTTTCTTATGCACCCCAGCAATAAAGGTTCTGTATACCAAAGGATGCCTTGGTTTCACTTGCCAACTCCATTACCTCCAGCAAATAACAAAATATAAAAATGTACACAACTCTGTTGGCGATAGACAGAGGAAGAACATCTAGCTAAGCTGTGCTCCGTACATCCTGCAATAATAATGGTATAAAGTAACAAAAACATACGTTAGCTACCCAGTTCAGCACCTAGTCCTCTGAACAACTGTAAGGTGTATGATCCTGCTCTTCCTGAGGAAAAAACTGAAGTCTTGAATGGACTTGAGTTCAGTAGGGTCAGGAGTTCACCCAACAAATAAAACTGTTGGTTAAAAAAGGGATCCATTTGGGGGAGTGGTGTTACATTTCAGAGTTGAACTGCACTTGCATTAAAATTGTGTCTATTCTATGTATTGACTGTTTTTTTCTGATCCGGCAAAACCCTTAAACAAGAATAATCCCATTGACTTCAACAGGACTACCCACTTGCTTAAATCAAGGCATATAGTTAAATTTTTTACTGGATTTGGGTCTTTATATACATTAATTCTTCTCAGTTTTTGTTCAAGTTAATGGCCTACTGAAATGAATGGGAATGTTGCTCAAGTTAGGACTTCGTTAGAACAGAGTTCTTAATCAGCAAGAAGAAACATCATTGGCAACAGTACAATCTTTTTCTTAACAGGTCTCTGTTTAAGAAATATATACAGAAAGATTTAAAAAATGGGTAAAGAGGCAAACATGGTGTCACACAGTTATTCAGATAGCCAATGCATCAGCATGAAGAAATTTAACGTAAATAGTTCTAAATAAAATAGAAGAAGAATATTAGGTTTCTTACCTGGACGACTGCAATGAGAACATAGTTTTAAACTGGATTATATTTCTAGTATTTTGCTAACTACTTAAGGCATGCAGTTGAATCCTTTGCCATTTCAAAGACTTAAAAGGGTCTACAAAAACTGTTTTACTACAAAAAGATGGTGTGTTTTTTTACACATACCTACCTATTGAAATAATTCAAAACTGTCTGAAAGTTATGCCTTTATATATGCACTTAGCAAAAATGTTCTACTATTCTTAAATTAACTTACTATACAACTTCTGCATTGTACTGACATTCCTGAAGATGGATTTCTCTAGCAATCTCAGATGCCAAAACAAAAAATTAAAACAACAGACCTAATCCTTATAGAAAAATAGGTTTATTGAACAAGTGCATGAGCAGGCATGAAAGAAGAGTTTATTTGTACATGAAGTAGCCAGAAATGAAAAGCTTCATTTAGAGTTTTTTAAAATAAATGTCTAAGAAAATCATTTGAAATCTCAAAGCAGTGCTGTTCATTCGTATTTATTTTATTTGGCATATGCTTGCTATTTCTAACTTGGTATGTTATGTTCTTTATCTTCCTAACTGAAAGTGCATCTCAAATATTCTCTGTCGAAAACAGAATCAAAAGAACATAGTAAAGTTAGCAATCAAGGTTAGATCCACATGCATCAAGTTAAAAAAAAAAAAGGGTAGAAATAAGCATGTCTAGTTGTTTCCTAGGGATTCCCCGTAATTTGCATAGCGCTCATTTTCCAGGTCATTCAGCACATTCCTTTTCTTGCCAGGAGTTCCAGCCCCGACGTCAGTACGAGGGTAAGTTTGCAATTTGTGCAATTCTTGAGACAGTTTGCCCAGTACACAAGTACTCAGACTGGCACAGCGTTTGGAAATAGGTCTATCCAGGCTGCAGGAGGGAAAAAAAAAACATGCCAAAAAAAAGTAATATAAACCATGCACAGTCATGCATTACATTCCTAGATAACTAACTGTAGCTAGAAGACAAAAAAGAAAAACGGAAAAACCTCCCCCGTACACTCATTTCATGCAAGAGGGGGGTCCATACAAGGGGAAGTACATCAGAAAGGCCACACAATTTATCATGGATTAAATTAATATTGTTTTGTTGAACAAGCAAGTCACTTAGCTTTTTAGATATTAGCACTTAGAAGGCAAGATGCTAGCAGTTAAAAAGCAGGAAACTTCTCTTTCAGTGTATCCAACATGCTGTTCAGTTTCTCATTCATCATCATGCCTTGCAATAGGAGTTCATTAAGGATAATGCAAATTTATACTTGCATGCCTTGGCTTTCTGGGAAAGGATGGTGCTACGTGCATTAAGGGGAATGCCCCAACTTCTGCCAATGGCTGTCCATGCCTTACAATAGCATGCATTTTCACGACAGAGAATTCAAGAGTGATTAAACAGCCCTCAGCACTTCCACCATTAAACATACCTCTTGCTGTCATATTTTAACACAACCCCTTTCAAGTTCAACTCGCCCTCCAATGGCTTTTTTATTTTCTTTCAGTTGTGAAAAACAGATAGAAGCAGGTTAACTAGGTGGAAACTATTCTCCTGATATTGACATGAGAAAACAGCTCTGTAATATTGTCCCTTTTCAAATATTATATAAAGTCATCCACAGTCCCAGGTGAGAGTAAGTCTTAGCCTGTCCGAGCATCTGCTGAGGTTGCTCTTGTTGAGAAATCAAATACACACAGGAGTCCAATTTCCCCACTGCCTTGCACATATCCCCAGGGCTGCAGTCCTTACCTATTCCCTTCAGTCACTTTTTCCAGGTCTTCTACTGTCATCTGTACGAATTCTTTCACCAATGCATTTAATAACCTCCGAGCTTCATAATCACTGAGTGTCACTCGATCTGTCATAGACTCTAAGCCAGGTCTAGGTGGAGACAAGTGATACTGCATGAATATAATCCTGGCTGTTGCAGGGAATCTTGCATAGGATGAGACAGATAGAAGAGCTCTTTTATGCATTCTTCCTTATTACCGAGAGTGTCTTAAACTGATAGACATGAGTAGCTTTGGCTTGATTTTAACTTACATTACTTCTTCATATGTTAGATAAGTAATCTATTATGTGTTAGCAAATATATAGCTCAAACTTACAAGATCTAGGGATTTTTTTCACTTTACCATAACCCATATCCTATCTAAAGCAATAAGAAATACTAAATATCACTACACTGTTCAGATAAAGTACCTTGAAATTCATAAACGTCCACAGCTCTCTGCTTCTTACCTGAGTGGGGCTGCCTGGAAACTATCCATCTGGCAAACAACCAAGGCATAAACAGCAAGGAAAGATGAAATCTTCAGCATAACCATAATGTCCTCTCTATAACAAAGAGTTACATCAGTGGCCATTTTCAAACCCCCTCAATTCTATCAGATGTACTTAAAAGTACATCTTTCTCTACATACAAAACTTCACACTAACTCATTGGGTTTTTTATTGCTTTTTTAATCATTATCTTTAAATTTGTCTTGGTTATTTACCTTCTTTTTTTATCTTCTTATTTTTTTTCAAATATCTTAGGATTACTATATGTATTTGAATTGTACTCCTTGGCGTTTTTCAGTATTATAGTTCTATAAAGTTAATGCAGACCCATCTTCAAACTGGCATTGAATATCTGACTGTAGCTAGAGAATTACATATCATTTTATGTGTTTAATGTGTCAAATATCAGTTGGACAAAATAGCCTCTCAAGGATAGCACATCTCAAGAAAAAACACGAAAGTAATTCAGATATCAAAATATTCCATGGCCATGTTCTGTAGACTAATTTGAATATGTGCAGTATTTAATTTTACAGTATTTAACAGTAAGCACAATTACATTAAGGAGTGCTCATTTCTTGATCTAATTGACTTACTAATATCCCCTGTTAAATGCACATTAGATAAGATTAGAAAAACTGGATGATTTAATTTTACCAAATAATCTCAAATCTCAGACTAACAGAATGAGTCAATCAGAAGAAAACTTGATTCAAAGGATAAAAATAAAAAATGATTATATTTTAAAGAATCTGTCTCTGCCACCCACCTTTATTTAAAGTATATTTAACTTAATTTGAACCCATTATTACCTGTCACATATACTGCTGGCTAACATAAAATGTAGGATCTCATTTTCCAGACCTTCGTAGGATTGGAATGTCCATACAAATTTTATATTACCATTTCACAACAGATTATGAGAAGCTTAAGATGATTAGAAAAGAAAATAAGCTCTTCAACCTAATCATGTAAAAGAGGCTGGTTTGTTTGTTCCCTGGAAAATGTAATAAGATGTATGTTCTCATTTCCTTACAAATATTATAAGCACTAGTGGATAATTTTACTGGCTTCTGCATGACTTTTGTTCACCTGTTTTTTTAAGGAAGCCTGTAATGAGGAACTTAGCAGCCCCATATAAAATCCAACCAGTTGCAAATGAGACCCTCTCTGAAAGCACAGGCAGAACAAACTGTAATAGAATAAAGCATCCCTAGCTGTAACTGAGCATCAAACCCTGTCTTAGATCACAGGCAAGCCTTGCAAATTCAGCTGCGGTGAAGAAGACTTAGCAAACTCTACATTTTAAAAGACAGAAACCCACACTTACCTTGCAATGCAAAGCTTCTTAAGAAACAGTAAAATGTGCTGGGAGTTTCCTCAATATATGTTTCTAAATCGTGATGCTGTTCAATGCCCGAGTACTCCCTTTTATATCTACCGCCAGGGAAAAAGTGTGTAGGCGTTCGCCCAGCCCCCGCCAGCCAATCGCATGATCTGTTGGCAAAACGCAACCAATCCGCAACTGAGTTTGCGACTCCAAGTTCTCAAATTACGTCATCTTCCAGTCACTGAGTATTCCATTCACAAAAATTTGCCAGTCATTTGGCTGGATCTGCTGGGTTGATTTGCACTGAGGTCATTGAACTAAAAAAAAGGGGGGGGGGGGAAGGGAGGGGGAATCACTTCAGCCAATTAATGAAAAGTAAGGGAAATCGTCTCGAGCCATTAATAATGTACAGTCCACCCCCCTTCCTCCCACCCCTTCAAAGTACCATATCTTTTTAATGAAAACTTCAGAGGACAGGTTATTTACTTATTAGAAGCGACATCTACTGCAAAAAATACTGCATTGCAGACCGGGGTGGGGAAGGACATGGGGAAACGATGGATTGTCATTCCCTTCCCCCCCCCCCCTTGCAAAAGAGCTGGGTAGGTGGGTGGGAAACAGTATTTGCAGGTCTGGTTCCAACGCTTTAGTAAGAGCGCTTAATGTTTTGTAACAAAGCAAGGCATAAGCGTGCAGAAGTCAGGCTGTTTGGAGAGAGTTTTTTCTGTGTGGCTGAATGAGCTCCGTCGTGCTCCCCTGGATCTCGGAGTGCCCCCGGATGCTAAGCCCGTAGCAGAGCAGCGCTTTCCAGCCCGCACAGGAGACTCACTTGGTGGGTTAAGGCTTTGACAACGGGTTAAGGTTTGGGAAGAACTATATGCTAGACGGTGTGTGTATATATAACGATTTCTATATATATATTTTTTTTTCCCAAAGAAAAAAATGTCTCCTGACTCCAGCAGGGCTAAATGTTCCCTACCCCCAAATAGACAGTGCTGTGGATCCGCACTGGGTCAAGCGTATGAGGTTCATAGAGGGGGGGGATCGGGTTTAAAAATAATCCCCCCCCCCAAAAAAAAAACTCAGCAGGGCCTGATGCTTGCACAGATTTCAATGCGCTCTAGATCAGGTCCTGAGGCTGCATTGAAGAGAAGGGACCAGTGGAAAAGAGCCCCATTTCCCCCCCTCCCCACTCTGTTTTGTGAAAGAATCGCCCACCCTGAGCTCTTGTCGGGACCCTGCGAATCGCCCCGGGGGGGAATGGGGCAAACAAACCACCCCCACTTCTAACCTGCCCTGTTTCCCCTCGGTCCTGTAACTAAGAGGCATCCTCCTAGGGGAACCCTGTGCTCTCTTGGCGTGGGGGCAGCTGAGGGGAAACGCTGCTTAAGGCTGGAGGCGGGGGAAGCTGCCTCCCCCCCCC